AAAGAAGAAAACTTAATTTTTTTTGTTTCTTAGTATTATAAAATTTTACTTTCTTTTTTCATTCCACAGTTTGGAGAGATTTAAATTTAGAGTGTATTTTTTGCAGACAGCCCAACGTTTCCCATTTTGTGAGAAATGGAAGTTAATGATTTACTAAGCTGTGCAACACTCAGTTGAGATTTGGACAGGGAAAGCCAAAGTTTCTAGTGGGTTACTATCATGCAATAGTATCCCCGCTTTCTTTTTCCCCCATTTCCACTCAAAGTGGAGGCTTCATTGTATCTCCCGTGCAGACTAGAGTGGTTGAGTTATAAACTTTTCCCCAGCAACGCCATCCAAATTTCATTCTTTGAACAATTAAAGCCAAGGAGCCCAGAAAAGCAAAAACACATCTAGATGGGCTTCATGTTTGCTCTGGTTGCTTTTCCTGTGCACCGATTATTTTCTGGATAAGTTGGATAAAGCTGCTGTCACTCTCCTGTTAACATCATGAGTCATTCTTCCCCCAAGAGAGAGGAAGATAGTTCAGGCTCTCACTGCCTCCTCTCTGGTCAGGTTCCTTACAGGCAGAGTCTGAGACAAGGATGCATGTGGTATAAGCTAGAGTCTAGTTCCAGCTCGCCCTGCAAAGTTGATGCCCCTTAAGATGAAGGAGCTGGCTTTTGTATCTCCCATTTCAGGCAATCCTTGTATGAGTTGATCGTAGAGGGTCTTTTAACCCCTCCAGTGAAGTGGATCCTCAAGGTTGGGGACAATTCTGTAGAAAAGCAGGCAGCCAAGGGCTTTAGCAGCCAATACTCCCAGCAGCTGGGGGATGGCTGCCCTCTGGTAAAGGAGTCTGAGTGGAGAATCAACAGCATTCATTTTTTGTCTTTTCTCTCATCGTTTCAGTTCATGCTTCATTCTGCATTCATCATGCCATCATTCTGTTCAGAAACTACCAAAGACTCCTTACTGCCTAGAGAACACATTTCCAATTTTCCGTTGCTCCCAACTTTTTTATTTCCAATCTTTCACTCACAGTTCCTGTTGCTCTCCCTAGGCAAGCAAACCACTTTTGTCCCACACATGTTTCACAAATCCCTTCCATTCCTCTCTACCTGATGTACTTCTTTGATCATTCCTCCATCTCAAATGTGTTCTTCATGCCCTGAACTCAGAGTTAACAGAACTATAATTGAGTTCCCATTTGAATACATGTTTGCTTGGGTAAATTATTAACCTCTTTGAGTGTCAGTTTCTTCACCTCTATGAGAGGCTGTTTAGCTTTTAGCTCAAATGAGATGTGCAGTTTAAAGCTTTATAAAATTCTTTCCCTGGTACTCACTTATAAAGGGGGTCTGTCCACAAAGACACTATGCTCCCTTTATTCTATGAACCTTCTTGTATTTATTTTATCAGCTGTTTGGTATTTATCATAACTACACTTGAATTATGAGGCAGCATTACATTTGGGCACACCATCTTCTTAACTAGACTGTTAGCTTCACAAAGGCAGGTGCCACTGCTTAAGTATCTTCCATAATGGCTAATATTGGCGATCTTCCATGGACGTTTGTAAATTAACATATTTATTAATGACAACTTGTACCTGTAGAAGGAAAGAGAGTTTCAAACCTAGATGATGACATTTAAAAAAATTCCAGGTAAGTTTAGGTTTATGGCTAAAGCAGAAACCTAGAAGCTGGTGGTGATATATAATATAATGTACAGTGATCAAAAACTCACTGGAAAGGGGAATTTTTATGGAAATAAGGGACCCTGACTCCAAATATATGTAAGAAATGAATAGTTGTAGTAACCAGTACATTAGCCAAGAGGTTTCAAAAAGTCATCTCCCAATTATTTGCTTTCGCTGCATTTATTAAGTTATAGCTAAGTAAAATGTACCTTTTAAAACATTTGCAATTTCCTTAGAAACTTTGAGTATTATATACTCTTCTGTCAAGAATTGAATATTTAATTAGGATATCTGATTAGAACTATGTGTCAAAATGATTAGAGTCAGTAAGTTAATTATAAAAGGCAGTGTTATTAAGAATTATTATTTGTTATGTTCTTAGTGGCCGGAGTTTATTTTTTAAGTGTATTCCATCATGCCCCAAGGGTATTTATAGAACGAATTTCTTAGCAAGTCTGGCTTTCAGGATTTCACTCCATGCACCCGGCTTGTGCAAGTGGCTATTGAGCACCAGCCAAGATGATTCACTTTTTATCATAAGATGGAGCTTCTTTCAGTATGGTTCTATCTTGAGATATCTGTTTTCTGCTACTAGTTAAATACCAGTGACATATAAGGTAGTAAGCATTCATTGAACACTTTAAAGTAAGTAGTTTAGAACTGTTTTAAAATCAGAAAGTTGGGATCATGATGAAAAAATAAAGGTGGACCATATCATTCCTTTACTTCCCACCTTAAAACTCTAAATACAAATACGAGGGAGGAAAAAGAAATTGTGACAGACCTAGAGGAATATCCAATTAGCCTGACTACTTCTACTATAGTTGTAATTGATCTCTTTTTAAAACAATCCATGGTTTATGTGTGCTTCTCAGCTGAAACTTAGAAGATGAGAAAAGATAGGATACTTGGAATGTCATATACAGGGAAGCATTTCTGTCAAGCACATTATTGAGGCTGGAAAAAAAATGAAATAGAAACAAAGAACACCTGCTACTTTAACTCATTTAAAAAAACACAATGTTCTTTACTTGCTGACTGGAAATATTGTATTTTCAGAGAAAAGAAAGTGCTAATCTAAATGGGAGAAAATGTAATGATTCACTATGCCAATGATATGAAATCAGAAATATTTTAAATTGGGTATTTTACTGTGTGGAGGGGTAGGTATTTTGTATAGAAATGGTTTTGCTCATCAGGTGGTGAATATTTCTCACAAATTGCAGTAAAGAGAATAAAATCGGCTTGTCACTAAAGATTTTTTTTATTGACATCTTTAGCTTGTTTTCATGCCAGTAATTAAATTGCTAATTATGTGTTTCTGTTACTGTGGTCATGCTTTTATTACATAATTGCTTCAAGTTTTGCTCAAATCACTAACAATATTTATTTAACCTTTTTGTGCATTAGATAAATTTTAATATATAAAAGCTTTGGAACGAGTTCATTGACTCTGTTTTGATTAGCAAAATCAAAGGAATTCTAACCTTTCTTATAGTTACATGGGTTGGGTCATATTTTCATTGAGATTGGTGATAATTATTAATTCAAGCAATAGCAATCATTGAAAGACCAATTGAAATAGAAGAGAAAAAATACAAAGAAAACTTTTCAAAAGCCCAGTGTTCATTCTAGAAAAATAAAGTGATCTTTCTTTAAGTAATTGGAAATATAAAATTAATAATTTGATCCTTAATATGTGCCCATATTTTTCAAAAAAATATTTGATTAAACTGAGGGTAATTCACTTACCAAGCCTCCTGTCCCCTTTTGAATGTGGGCATAATTTTTGTCAGTGTTTCAATGTAGTCATGATTTTTTTCTCATTTGTTTATTTTATGCAAACCGTAAGAGACATTTTTCTCAGTGAAGATTGCCTCTTTATTTTATTTTGAAATATTTGTATATTTGTTTCATTAAATGAGATAATGCTTTTTCTTATTAACATAATTTCCGGTACATTAAACATATTTCTCCACAGACAGAAGAGAGGAATCAAATTAAATGACAGCTAAATCACTTGCAGCAATTTCAACTGTTAAAAGAAATAAGTGTCTCTGTTTTCTTTGTGATCACAAGATGTGCTAAAGGGAAATGAAATACTAAAGAAAGAAGGGAAAACATAAAGAAATAATGACTGACTTATTGTATTAATACCATAGAGAGAAGAAAAATTCACTACAAATAAAAGGAAAAGTAATATAGTGAATTTGAAAGTTACCAAAATTCATTTCTTATTGATGAGTTCAGTGGAAGCCTAATACTAAGTAAGCTGATGAAAAAAAAATCAGTGCAATAAACTATGAATGATGAAAGTTGAAATAAATACTTTGCATATAGAGGACCATTATTCTAAATGTCTTTAATTTTTTAATAATTCATGTCTTTATGTTTATAAAAAAGGAGGCATTATTGCTTGGTGGACTCGAAATGCATGTAAAAAGCCATCTTCTAGAAGCCCATATTTAGTAAAAAGTCCAATGATATTGGCGACCTTACGATTTTTAGTATCATATATTCTGACTTTGACAAAAGTACATTAAGGGAGGTGAACCTTACTTTTAAAAATGGTGCTGACAAATTGTACTGGATGCATTATACAGCATACTTACTCTGTCAAGGATAAACTGCTTTCCAAAAAGACAAATAATTTTTGGACCATAGAAAGAACACAGCTCAGAATAATGTATGTATATATATTGTATATGCTTACGAATATTCTGGGGGACAGCAGCAGCAGTTTTGACAAAATTCAACAGTTCCACACACACGCATATGCAAACATACATATGAGAGTGTATGTGTGTGTGTGTATTATTTTTTATGCTTGTAAAGTTTTTAATGTGTTCAAATCGAGCATACAGGCTACTGGTCTGTGTATTTGCAGGTGGGCTTATGCACTCATTTTCTCTCTTCACACATCTTTAAAAAATATATAACTAGTTAATTTAATCAATTCAATCAGAAGCAGTCAATTCACTATGGGAAAAAGATCACTTGAGCCACTTTTACTGAATTGATTCTGTCTGCATTAACCTAAGACAGTTGATCTTGAAGCTTGTCTCTCTCCCTTTCCTGTCCCCCAATCAGTTTATACCCTAACCCTTCATCCTTTCTCTTTCCCTTTTGCCTTGCCCTCCTCTCTCCCTTCCTTTTGGGTTCTTTCTCCTTCACTCCAACATGTTAAGAAGCCTTTTCCATCTGCCCCCTCTTCCCATTCACTCTCCTCTCTCCCACTCCACCACACACAGAGCTTCCACTGTCCCACTGGAGAAAATAAAAAAATTCTAAAGCTGGTGTTTCTTTTTTTGAATTACAGAGATTTGAAAGTATTGCTTTGCTGAAAACATCTGGCTGCCAGTCTAGAATGTGACTGTTAAGGTAATAACTGTGGTTTTTCCACTTTAAAGACCCTTTCATCCCAAAGGTTCTTGGGTCCCCACTCAGCTAAGTTTAAGACCATCTCTGGGTTTGTTTTCTTCTTAGTAAGATACCTTTGTGGGTGTGTTGTGTGTGAGCTGCAAGGTGCACAGTTTTCTGAGGGTTGGGGGAGGGCTGACATGCAAGGGAGGGGAAGGAGGCAATGTTAATGTTTGGGAGTGCTTTTGTGGGCCCACTTTGGAAATACTTCCCCTTATCTTTCATTCAGAATGCAGGGGATAAGGCAAAAGTGCAGGCCACAACCGAGAGATTTTGAATTATGCATTAAGCTGATAATGCCCCAGAATGCAAGCTTATGTCAATAAATAACTAGGCTGGTAGGAGGAAGGAGGTCACTTTACTTGTGTGTGGAGGGCACCACATAGGGAGAGAATAGAGGAAGCCTAGGTGAAGGGTGAAAGGGAGTTCACATACTTTAGCTTGCTGTGATGAAGAAGTAAGAAGCGTAAGTTAATATTGAAATTATTACCTAATGCTTATTTGCTTTTAAATTGATTTAGCCAAGATAACAAGACTTTTCAGTGTGGACCCTATGTGCCCAAGTTTGCATTTGTGGCGGGGTTAGCCCTTCTGTGGAACCTTATGTAAAGAAATTCTGTCTAGGGGAGAAATTAATTTGAATCCTTTAATGGGACCTATAAACTCTTTTAAAAAGCAAGATTTTTCAGGGTGAAGTTTGGCAAAATACATAAAAGGACATTAACCTAACCTGCATTAACCTAAGACAGTTGATCTTGAAGTGAACAAAACTCAGGGTTTTGTTTCACTGGGTATCTTTCCCTTATTAATATGTAGTAGAAAAGCAGTAGAAGGTAAGCTTAGTGGAAGGAGCAGAAAGATTAAAAGAATGCTATAAATTATCTCTCTGGCCCATGATACAGCACTACCCAATGCTGATGAAAACTGATTCTTTAATCTTTGCATTGCTTCTCCTGCTTTAGTAAAATTCATCAATGAATGTGACCATTTTCTACTGTGAGAAATTAATCGTGGTGCAGGTACACACACATGCACACACGCACATACATACACGCACACGATTTTAAAAAATATTTAGTAATGTCTCCCAAGAAAATGGAAAATGTCCAGGGTGGGGACCTTAGCCTATAAACAGCTGAACCTCTGCCTATTTTTTCATACCAAAAAAAGAGAAGAAATTACACGTATATTTCATCATTTTCCTACTTTTAGACAGCAACTTGAAGCCCCTGATTGTGCAATCAGAAGCTTGTGCTTTGACTCTCTGAAGGAGTGAATACGTTTGTCAGGTCAATTCTATATGCACACATGCATATATACACACCAACAAATTAAAAATGGATCTGGGAAAACACCCTTCTCCTCAGAGAGTCATATCAAGCAGTGTTTAAATTAAATAATTTGCAGAGTGTGGGGAATAAAGCCTTTGTAGCAGTATCTGGAGGTTATCTTCCCTTGGGAAATTCCTGCCATTTAGTCCAATCTGGTGCATGCCAGTGAGATACACATTCATGTATGCACACACTAGTAGATACATTTTATTTTACATCTAAATTATATTTATTTCTTTGGGTTATCTTCCATTTTGGGTTTATGTCCCCCCCCCCAAAAAAAGAGGTGAACCTCTTGTGAAGGGCTTAGGTCATTAAGATCCAAACAAAAGAGAGGAAAGGTTATTAGTGAGCAGAAATGAGGGAAAGCTTACTTCTCCTGGCATAAAGCCAGTTATCCCACAGCTCCTGGGGGAGCATGGCTGTGATCGGGAGTACATTTCAGCTCAGGTCAGTGTTTGATTTTGCTCCCAGCCCATTGACTGATCGCAAAGAGGAGACATGGCTGTGATGAGGTAATATGAGTGGGTAAACCACACGTAGCAGAAATTAGTTGATTTCTTGCTACTTGTCCTACTCAACCAATATGTAATCCGAACTGGATGTTAGTACCTCATGCCATGTTTCTATTGCATTCATTTCTCTATAGTTGATATATTCATACGTAATCAGCATGCCTGTCCTGTGAAGGACACAGGCCAATCACAATAGGGATTGTGAATGAAATGTTAAGAGGAAGAGGGAGAGACAAAGAGGGAGAAGGTACCTGACTATCTATGAACAGGGAATTTTAAAAGTCCTGATTAGAGGTATTTTCAAGAGCAAATAGTTATTTTCCTCAGGGCTACGATCATCTTTGTACCCTTTAGACTCCCAATTTATTTCCTTAAAAACATTCTTGCAAGGGGCGCCTGGGTGGCTCAGTTGGTTAAGGACTGCCTTCGGCTCAGGTCATGATCCTGGAGTCCCGGGATCGAGTCCCATATCGGGCTCCCTGCTCGGCGGGGAGTCTGTTTCTCCCTCTGACCCTCCTCTCTCTCATGCTCTCTGTCTCTCACTCTCTCTCAAATAAATAAATAAAATCTTTAAAAAAAAAAATTCTTGCAAATTACTAGTAGCCTGTATAGAAACCACGAGCTGGGCAAAATTCCTGGTGACTCCTGCATTCTGGCTCCCCTCCCCCGCCCCACCGCCACCCCGTTTCTTTGACAAAAATACTGGTGTATTATTTTTCTACGACTGCCATAACAAAATGCCAGACTGGATGGCTTAAGTAACAGAGACTTGTTTTCTCACAATTTTAGAGGCTGAAAGTCTGAGATTCAGGTTAGTCAGCAGGGTTGATTTCTTCTGAGGCTTCTCTCCTTGGCTTGCAAAATGTCTGTCTTCTCCCTGTGTCCTCACACAGTTGTCCCTCTGCATGTGCATGTGTCTGGTGTCTCTTTGTGTCCAAATTTCCTCTTCCTATAAGGACACCAGTCATTGGATTAGGGCTAACCCTAAAGTCCTGGTTTAACTTAATCATTTCTTTAAAGACATTATCTCCAAATATGATTACATTCTGAGAGGGTTAGGGCTTTAACATAGGAACTTGGGAGCACACAATTCAGCCTCTAAAAACTGGACTTCCAAAATATTTGGTAGAATGATATTTTCCCATTCATCTCAGCTAACTTACTTAGAGATTGATCCCCCCAACCTTCATTCTCTTCTGTATGTTTATTTAGAACTGATTGAAGGTAATTTATTACAATTAATGTAGGTGGTTGTGTTTGTTGTTTTAAGAAGTGACGGTCGGGGAAAGAGAAAAAAGCTTATTTAAGAAAACAAACAAATCTTGCCTGAATTTTTTTAAAAAAAGAAGGTCATCTCTTTCTTCTCCTAGAATAGCATGGTGGCAGGACAGACAGTTTTATCACGGGGGCTAAGAAAGCAGGTTTTCGAGTCCGCTCCGCACATACTAACTCTGACGTTGAACAGGTTGCTCAGCCACACTATTCCCTTGATTGATTCTGCCTCTGTATATTGTGGATGATAAGTAGAACTGTTTCAAAGAATTGCTGGGAGGATTAATTGAGATGATATGTGTAAAGTGCGTGGCATGGTGCCAAGCTCACAATTTTTAAATGCTAATTATGGTCTGAATGTTTATGTGCTTCTCAAATTCATATGGTAAAACCCTAACCCCAATGTGATGGTATTCAGAGGCAGGACTTTGGGAAGTAATTAGGTTTAGATTAGATCATGAGAGTGGGACTCTCATGCTAAGCTTAGTGCCCTTACAAGAAGAGAAAAAAAGAGATTTTTATCTCTTTAGGAGCACCACCAAGGAAAAGCGGATATGGTACAGCCAAAAGGCAGCTATCTACAAGCTGGAAAGTGGGCCCTCAGCAGACACTGATTCTGCCCACACCTTGATCTTGGACTTCCCAGCCTCCAGAACTATGAGAAATTTCTGTTGATCAAGCCACCCAGTCTATGATACGTTGTTATAGTAGCCCTAGCAGACTAAGAGAGTGCTCAATAAATATTATTTACCTAATAATAATAATAATAACAATAACCACAGACACAGAAAGCTACACTGTTCACTGGTGCTGGACAGAATGTAATACCCTTCCTGAATTTCCTCTGATTTTAGATTGTTAGAGGTGGAGCTAAGTGCAAGTTCTTTTTCTGTTAGTTTAAGTGGACTTTGATAGAGAGTTGGATTCACAAAGTGTAGATAAAACACAAGTAGGCTTTAATGTTAACTCCTGTCCTCCAAAGATCCAAAGATCCTTGGTCAAAAAGTAATGAGTCAGAGGGACATTGGAATAGAGGGGCTGGGGTTTCTGGCAGCCTGACTGTCCCCAGGAGCCTGGCTTGTTTTCCTCTGGAGAAGCTCAGTCTGTGAAGCATGAGTGGCACATAACAGGTGTGTGTCCTCTGGTCTCTTAGTGAGACAAGCCACCAGGCCCTCTCCTTGTCCACTGGACAGAGGCTCAGCCTAAGTCTGGGAGTCCCAGACACAGCAGAGGCCACAGGATATTCAGGACTGGGCTGCCAGACAGAGGTTACCCATAAGTCTTTGTAAAATGTGTAGTTAAGTGCCAAACACGTTCTTAGGATTAGGTCAAGTGTTGCCAGCAGTACTCAATATGCCGTACTGTAATCAACTTGCATCAGCCAGCACTTTATTCTTAAGGCCCTCAGGGCTCAACTACTTTAGAAACAGTCCGGTAACTAAGGAAATATCTATTGTTATCTATTGTTTTAAAGTTGCATTTCCTTAAGGAGCCCTTGGCTTCATAAAGGGGATTGTCCCATGTGAAAATCTACTTCAAGATACAGCCCTTAGTCTTCAGAGAAGCTTGGGAAGTAGAAAGGCACTTTGAATTGAATACAAAAACAAGGAGTTGGAGCTATGTTAAAATAATAATGTTAAAGATACTAATAGCTGATGTTTATTGAGCATTTTCTCTATGGGAGATACCATGCTAGGCTCTTTATATTTTTTATCGTATTTAATCTCCATAATCCTACGAGATAGGTATATTATCTCAAGTTAACAGATCAATAATGAAGTTTTTAAAAAGGATTGCCAGGATTCAAACCCACCGATTTGGGCTATTTATTTAGGCTTCATTG